TTCATAAAAACCATATATGAGTAACAATGTGCTTGTTTGTGATCATAGTTATCATATGAGAAGGACTAATTATACAACCTTACTAATAAACTGAGTTAGCCGTTTTAGCATTACAAGCCACAACAATGGAATCATGTTATCGTAACAACGAAAGCATCACACTTTATTTGACTAGTCAACTGAAAGTATGCTGGAATGTGTCAACACGGAAAAGTTTTCTTTAGAATACAATGGAATGCAGTAATCGATGATTATGTTCGACGTTCGTTCTGACGAAAGTGTTAAAGTTTCAGTAGTGTGATGATATGAAGTGTGTTCGTTTATTATTGGTTGAGGAATTGGTGCGATACGCAAGAGAAACGACAGATTAGCAATCATGTTGCAGTTAGGTGGTGGTTAGGCCGTAATTGTATTCGTTTGAAATGAGGAACAAAATATGAAAACGAGATGGTATGTGGTTAATTGATAAGCATCTACACAATAGACAAGAGGTTCAGTACACGAATTCTAATGAGAATTATCTACACAGAAAAATACAACACACCTTCCACAAATATTGAACTTTGTCCAATTAAGACTAATCTGGTTTATGTGGTAATTTCATGAATAATGGTTTTGATTCATGCTAACAGTTGAATATGTTCCAAACGTTTCTATGATGAATTAGTCGTCTCAGTTATTCATATCTATTTAGGAGGTCAAATACTTCTACAATTCAAAAACGTACCTATTGATGCATTATTGATCATTTGTTCCTCCAATGAATTTCATTTTGCTCACATAAACCGTTGCCCTACAAATGGATACGTTACAACAAATAACATGGATTTTCCACTATTAATTTATCTAACACATGTGAGAAGATAATATAGAACATTGTGCTATTTCAATGAGCTGAATTACATGCGTTCATGCGTTTCCGATTTGCGTGAGGAAATCGAGTGTCTGCATTTGGCAGTTCGAATGAAACTATGAATGATTAAATGAATTGAAATATGAAACTCAACAATCTCTCTCAATTATCAAGATAATCCTTCTTCTTTTGTCTTTACAACATAAACCTGAAATGCGAACAGTTGTTTAGGAATTTAGTAGTAATGGTTTTCAGAGATAAATTAAATCAAAGTGAACTGTACAACGGTCCTAGTGTGGTATGAGTTGCACAATGAGTTGTTATGACCATCAATACCTATGATCCGATCCACCTCGACACAAACTATTTTTACATCATACTTGATAAGATTACAATGGGATTGTGAACATGTTTGTAGTCCTGGTAAATACGCGACCACCATATTCATGTAGGCCTGAAACATTGACATCTCCTTCGGTCAGAGACACATTTCACCAATCAATCTTGATGTGTAAGGCGACCGAAACCAGTGATTGGATGAAAGACATCAGCATTTAGGAATTCATTTGTCATTATTATAGGTTTTCATAAATACTTCCATCATGAGTCACCATGTGAAGCATGTAGACCAAAGTAATTTTGAATGCTATTTTGACGAACGTTTTATGGAATGAAAAGTGTTGTTCCATCTTACTTTCCCTTACTATACTTAGATTATAAGGACAAAATGTTTAGAGTATTAGTGGAAGATGAGCTTCGATTCCTTAACAAATCAAAGTAATTCACACATACTTTCTTGTCTATCGCGTTATTCATGTTTTGAAATGAATATTCAATACTGTTTTGTTTTGTAAGTATGAATGAGACAGTTGGTTTACGAAAACCGAAATCTTGAACTGTTCACCTCCAATTTACAAAAATGAGAACTAGACTAGTCGACCATTCTCTTTCTTACATGATCTTAATGCATACGTATAGAGAGGAGAGACAATAAGTATTTCGGTGAATATATATTGATCTACAATCAGACAAAATGTGCAGCTGAATTGACTGGGATAATAAGGGAAGAATGCATATGTAGGCATTTCATTCATCTTTGGGAACAAGTCTAGATGCATGGTTGTGTGGTGTTTGAATGAACTAATGATTCCTTTGTACTTGTTGAATGTTTGATTTCGAATTCTAAATACATTCCTTGCGAGACAACAGTTTCTAATCAGTCGACTTATCAGATTTCTCAAGTTATTGTACAAGATATGGTTTTTCTCAGTGATTCACTTATTTCTGACGAAATTTCTTGCAAATCTGAGGAAAATATATTGAATGAACCTAGTCATGATCGAAAACGTGATGTAGTTTTGATAGATGCTGATTTTTCTTGTGATCCTTTACTCTGCAACTACATTCTTAATAAATTTGAGGAAACTATTTCAGAAGAATCAAATCATCATGTTCTATCAAATATTATTTGTCCTCATAATGCATTTGTTTCTTGTGGGAAACTTGTGCAATGCGAAGCACAAGTACTAAATGAGCTCGAGTTTGATTGCATTTCGAATGATTTCATATCAACTGCTGGTTATCCTCATCACGAAGTCAATTCTAATGTTTACTCTGATCAATCTGAGAAATATGTTTTAAATGAAGCCACATCATTCATAACTTAGAGTTATAAAGACCCAAAATTGTTTCATGGGGGAATATAGTGTTGGGAAATCTATGCTTTAAATTCTAGATAGTGGTTGCGGTACACAACCAACACGTTGATTGTATACAATCCCAGGAACCAAGTGAGTCTGTTCCGATTTCGGTCGTAAATTCCAATACTAATGAGCACATTCTAGATAATACAGAGTTTTTATCCAATGCAATGTCGGACAGACACAGGATGAACTTAAGAAGACGTACAATCGATTATAGACACTTTGACTATAATTTAAGATGTGGCGGATGTGGTGTATGAATAAAATAATGATTCCTTTGTACTTGTTCAATGTTTAATTCCGAATTCTAAATACAGTACATTCATTTTTGTTTATCTAGTACTTCTTGGTCCGATTACGTTATTTCTGGGATTCTTAGTTCATACCCCTAATCATCATAAGTTGCCTGATATGTCTGATAACAATTGATAATATGATACACAGTTTAATTGATCATAACTAGCATACATTTTGTATATGATCTATTCACGTAATCAAGAAACTATACTAATTTAATCTATCTTCACTGGTTAAATATACATACTGCAGTTTATAAACTAAAAGTTCTATTAGATATATATGAATCAGTCAGTCAGTCAGTCAGCTACAACGTAGGACCAGGCACATATGTGCATCGGTCCAGGTTGCCATACCTCATTAGCACAGCAAGATGAACACCGGATTCATAGCAGTGGTTAGGCCAAAGGTTGCAATAAGGATATAGTATAGGAAGAAAGAATTAGTTCGTAGAAAGAAAGATATGAAGCGATTTTAATCTCTTAGTTTAAGGGAAGACAGAATATACTTATATTGTCTGTGATAGCTCCATATAGTGAAACGATGAGTAGTTCAGGTTATCTGAAATATTTGGGCGTTGAATCCAATAGGTTGGTTAGTGCTAGATAATTGCATAGAAGTTCCACAATCACAGAATATGTGCATTGCATACATCAATTCTGAAGGTGCGTCAATAAAGAACCAACCTATCAATTCATAATTGTCATTGAAATATTCTCCACATTATGATTTAATGACTCACACTCATGATCCTCTTCTACAGTGACTGTGCACTAAATACGATTCGAAAATTACCTAATATTACATATCAACTATCTGTTTCGATAATTGTTTCCTACTCAATATTTTCACTAGCAACTAGAAACGATCATCTATATTACCCATCTTGAAACACACCTATATGACGAGATATAAAGAGAAAACAATCTCGGTCTTCTGCACGAATAACTGTTTATTTCAATTGTTTACTAATAATGAAGATGTATCATTTTCGATTTTGAAACACTACCACAGATAAAATTACCACACACAAAAGCACACACTGACAATAATATGATAGTGGATCAACCAGTACAAAAGACAATGTGGAAACACAATCTCAGTTACAATAATATTTATTCTGTTCTGTTTTGTGCTCTTCATTCAAACTGTATATTATTCTATGTTTGTTCTTATAAAGATGAATTCGGGAATTGATGAGTACTAGAGAAAATCGTGTTTTTGAAGATGATTGGGTTGATTTGTGTGCAGAATGATCAGGTGTGTGTTACAATGATTGTTTTGGTTTATGATGATATTTCTCTTGTTGTCTTAACTTTCCCCGAACTAACCGGATTTGAATAGAAGAAACGCATTATCTCCAAGATAAAAATAGATGAAATGTTTGGTTTCATGCGTCACATAACTGCAATGAAGAAAGGAAATTGAAAAACCAGTTAGTAACATATAAGCAAATTTCAGAACAAGAAAATCTTACGAACTTCATTTGAATCCACCAATTCAGAACATGAAATTCCTCAGTATTCATAGAATTGCAAAATCAGATTACAGATCCGTCAAAATATATAGTTTGAATTACTTGAGGATTGGATTGAAAAGTATCAGAAATCAAGATGTCACTGTTGATTAGTGCTTAGTGGTTTTCATCGTTTATTATTTTGATCTAACTGTCTGTCATTCAATTAAGTTTGATTTGTAATTGTTACTCTAAGTACTACTGCACAATTCATGAATGAATTACTAAATCCAACACTGATGATGCTTATGATTCCTACATCCAGTCAAACTGACATCTGTGTTTTCATCGAACGTTTTGCAACTACACTAACTTGACGTAAACTGTCCTTGAACTAGACATTCTATTTAGAAACAGAGTCAATGACTGAATTAATGCAGTTATAAAAGACATTGACATTGAACATGGAAGTATCTTCTGATTGATCAGACAGACATAATGTTCATTCAAAATCAGACTGTTCATTTATAGAGAGAAATTAAATGTTATATTATGTTTCATGCCATTGAAAGAGATTTCTTCTTAGGTGTAGTTCAAATTGTTCTCTACCATCTACACTTTTATAATGCTTCTTATTTCTCAGTGATTTTGAGAATCATTTGATGAACTGAATCAAACTAACATAATCCCGTTAAAAGCTCGTAATTGGTGATCCTTTCTCGTCCTCGAATGCATACGACGGAACTGCGAACCGTTTATTTTGGTGACTCAAGTACGTAGGTGAAGAAAAAATGCTATACATAAATTTGACAAAAAACATAGTTAAATGAATACTGTCCAATTACATGTATACTATTGACTCCCAATAAAGTTACATAATTCCTTATACACTGTTACAATCTCCACATTATAACTTCAAATGATTTCTGTCTTGGCATAGACAATGAGTGAATAACATTGATTACATATTAATAATGAATAAATATTTATGTCGAGTTACAAAATATTACTAACCTTCCGAAATTTCTCCCAACAATACAATGCCATGTAGGATTGTATTTCCTGTCAAATTCTTTCTTAATGAATGCTGCTATATCTTTTTCCACACTATATTTCTCTAGAGCTTGTGCAGCACAATCGACAGCCTCTTGTTGCATATCATCTGTCATATCGGCATTTTTCACTACTGCTTTATGTTCAGACATCGTTATTCTCTAAAAGATTTCTAATATGTATGCGAATGAATTGAGTAGCCGTTTACTACCTTGTATTAATTTCTAATTGCAAAACAGACACTATTTATATCAACAAGAGTGTCATACTTTTGACCTTATTATAAATGCAATGAAGTAAGAAAATGAGAGTTTAGTAGCTTGACTTCAGATATAAAATATGTGTGTAGGTATATATATATATATATATATATATATATATATATATAAGTAGTGGCACAGATTTTAATTGGCTCATGCATAATCTTGACGTGCATGTCTTATCACTCTGTTTTAAATCACCGTCATTACAACTACAACAATATCAATGATGAGAATAATGGCAATGAAAGAAAGTTACAAATCTGTATCCAATACCCTTTCCTTATTAAAATAGTAGCGTATACTTTCCTGACTATTTTAGCAATGGTGTTTGAAGTGACTCAACATAATAGGAAGTAATTGTTCACGCTTAATGGTGAATTTCGTTCAAATTAAATAAATCTAGACAAACTCTTTTATTAAGTAGTGATCATAACTAACTGAGAGAGGTTCTTGCGAGAGACTGTGACTAGTGGAGTTTAATCAAAATGGGAGTATTGTAATAGTCATTTGTGGACTTCAACATTCCATCAAACCCTTCTTTTTCATGTTTCATTAATCCTATTGCTCAACGACACTTTCGCATTCTCAGTAGTTATTCAACCTCTGTTTAATTGAGAACTATAAACACCTTTCTCATCTATCTATCTATCTATCTATCTATCAATTAATCAATCATTTTATCTATTTATTTATTTATCTATCTATCTGTCGGTTGTGAAATTAATAATGATAATGATAGTTTTATTTAAAAATTCGTACATATTATAGTGTGTGGTAAGAATGATACTGTCAGAACGATTTAATTAGAAATACATGTGGACTGATAACAAATGGTACAGAAAGGAGATCCATCGAACTGTTCACTGGAAGCCAAAACATTTGTCATTATATCAAAACTAAAGCTTTTGGAAAACCGTTTAACATATCAATTGTATTATAAAATAACTTTGCTCTAAGGTGCATCGGTTTTGAAGAATAATAATTGCGTTTTGTATGCAGTCGTGTGTATCTATCTATTCATGCATCCATCAATTGTATTACATCATAAATTGAATAAAGTCACTAGAATGATTTTTAGTAAGTTGAGGAATGACAATGTAGAATAATAGTCGGTAACAGTGAGAATACTAAGTTTCGATGTTATTCGTGGTCGCGCAAAGTATGCCATAAGAATAGAAGTGATCTATGTTTGATTTTCGCGTTACAGTGTGAATTTTAGTGAATTTTGTAATCCAAGTAAATGCTTTTCTACAAAAGTAGAACTAAACTACTTGATTTATTATTCAGTAGATGAATTTACAAGGTTGATTTAACAACGACACAAAGTAATATTTTAATCGATGAAATTGATTGTTCTGAGCCATCATTTGCACAAACATTTTATTAGATTTGACAATCATAGTTAAACGATATCCTCGTATCTCTTATTCTAAATATAATGTGAGCAAGGATAATAGTTAGAGGTGATTCGTGATTGTGGTTGTATATAATTTATGTTGACGTATTGATTTAATGTGTAAATCGTGATATTCTGTTTATGTTGGTGAGTATCACATTTTAAGTAATTCCAATCAATGTTCCATGCTATGATATCACAGTGTTAACTCTACATATTCCACCTAGATTTTCTCTTAGTTAGTATATGCCAGTATGACGTATCTGGAATCATGAAGGCATGAACAATTCACATGAGATTTAAATTTGAGTATCCCAGTTTCAGACACATAAACACTGATCTACTCAGAACTATGTGATTGGTGATATTTACATCACTATGCACTGATTGAATGATATTTCAAATTATTACATGATGGGTAGATAAATTACTCGAAAGTGAATGATTAATTTGAATGAGTGAATATTTTGACCATAAGATTTTCTTTAAATCTCACGAAATCTACAACACTATATTCGTCTAGATTTTCGACTAACTGATCTAATATCTAACTCAATTTCTGCCATATTTATTACACAATAGACTACAATTCTTGCAGGTCACTTATATCTCGCTGAGAATTCTACAAATCAAAATGGGTAAATTCGAACGATTATTCACAAAATGTATTCGTATATTTCAGATGAACTGTAATCACTACATACTAAGCTTAATCCCCTTGATAGCAACTGCAAACAACTGGAAAGGTTTTCTCAGGAAATGTTTCGATGGAGAATCCCAGTGAACGGTTTATCCTGCTCTACAAGGGCTGACTGGACTAAGTAGGTAAGTAAGTAAGTAAACATGTACGTAATTATGTACTCGAGGATTTATTGGTTTCATACAATCCTGTGCATCCAACGTCATTCTAATGCATTCATTGTTATAAATTTCACTGCAAACAATGATTGTGTTTGCAGAAGTTCTATTTTTTACTATACTTGGCAAATGCCAAATATTATTCAGTATAGTCGTTTGTGTAAAAATAAATGGCACCACAATGACAGTAGGGTCTCGGAGTACTGAAAAATGGAATAAGGGCTTTTAATTGACCCTCGGTCAATGACTTCATCCGAAAGTGTTCTCATTCGTGGTTAACGATGCCCGCATGCGTAAGAAAGTTAGTGTCTTCATTCAAAATAAGCTTCAAACATCGATTACGTGTTTTGAACAATGGGGAGTTATCTCAAAACTGTTGGCTTAATGATCGGATAGTGTCAGAAAATGAGCTGTCTCATGGGTTCAGAGTCAAAATCAACTTGCAGTACCTATCTAGCTCACTTGACCACAATTTCCGAAGTACCAACCGGACCTTCCAAGCATCATTTTAACTGGCAAAATCAATCTTATATGGGCCCTCGTAACACCGGAACCACATTTTAAAAGTGACATTAGCATCCAGATCGTAATAAGACTCAGCAATACTGATTGTGAACCCATCAATCGACGGTGCAGTAGCAGGATTAGATGTGCTGGATTGTGAGGTAGGCGTAATCATTCGTATCTGATAACATCTGGATAGGTTTGGCCACTGCTCTAATAATAATTCCACTTTACAGGATTCTTGCTTGCGCCAGCCTCGTCGTCGCTGCTAAGTTTGAAGAGATTACGATATCATATTAAACCAGTGAACGCAACGAAATTTAGAAACACAATAACAGAACAAGTTAAACAATTCCACTGAGCCCCAGTACGGTCTATTTGAGGGAGAGGATCAGATTTAGCTGTGGGAAATGTAAATTACACGAACATTGGAAAGCGCGAACGGACAAGCACACAAATTGTGTGTATGTGCAGTACAAAACAACCTTTGGAAACCGTCACAAAATAGCGCACTAAAAGAGGAAGTTATTAGTGATGTTTATTCCGGAAACAATCTAACTGGGGTCAGTTACTAGATCACCAAACTGTTAAAATTCATAAATGTCAGATCGTAACCGGCTCTATAAACTATTTTGAACACACTTTTAATGCTCATTACATAATAATATAAATATGTACATGATAGAATGAGTGGGATGATTTACGTTCAACATTTAACACATGAAGGGAGTCAAGAATGGCGAGCACGGGGACACAGAGTGCAAATGGCATGGCGCGGCTATGAAGGCACAGTCACTGTGTAATTTAGTTCTTTTCATATCAGATCAGACGTATTTCTTCAGAAGTGTTGCACATCGTATTGCTGATTTTAACTATTGGTCGACTCAGTGTAGACAATGATGTGACTTTCACGCAAGATCTTATGGATTAGGCAATCTCATCAAGATGAACGTATACTTATCGAAGAGGTCTAGGATTCTAATAATGCGGATGTGTGCGCTAGTGCCAACGTAGACCATAATCATACAATATGTTTTCCGAGCACAGAATTCTTACATTCTCTCTAAGCCCATCTTCAGTCAAGTACCCCCCCTTTGACGACCTCGATAACTGGACAAGATTTTGCAATTTACTTCTGATATACAGCATATTTCTGAGGAAATCAACGTAGTTGCAGTAGCGTGGTCTAGTATTAATCCTTTGGACAATATTCAAGTAACCGACCTTCCTCGACTTCGCCTGCTTCAAAACGAAGGCAATGATCTTCAGCTCGAATCGTCTTCAAATATTATGGAACCACGGACCAAACAGATGGGAACAAGTCAAGCCACACTATTACATAGATAACACGAGTCCTAGCGACCGTCTACCACGCACGAGCTAACTGGTTGATAGAACGATTTTGCCGGCAGTTGAAAGATTCTTATTCAGCTGAAAAGGTTTCACAGTGGACAAGCGCTCTTCCGCTTGCGTTAAGCCTGACTTTGAACTAAACGCACCCTACAAATGGTGCGCACCTCGAATCCTACGTGTCCAATAAACGAAAAAAGTGGCCAACTCAATCAATGAGCAACCCAAACCACTCACTCTCTAATCCGACGCATTTATCGAAGCCAGTACAGTAGGAACATGGTCATGCTCAAATCGTATTATCTTATCGTGTCGATTCTGCTCAGTGACCTATTTAGCGGATCGTTCCATTATGATTCAAATAATTATCACATGCTCATTATCACACTAATGTCATTTGTATTGACATTAAATTATGACATTTAAGCAATTATATTAATCACCGAACCAATTATAATTTTATAACATTCCATTCACGTTATGACATTCAAAACTCACTGAACTACTTTTGTTATTCAATAACGTAAAAATTTCCTGCTCAAAGTGAATTCTTCCCATTTGCTTTTCCCTGTCATTTTTGCTTTTTTATCACAGTCAATCACATAGACGAGGTCATTTTTGTGTTATCATGCCACCCATTTTTTATTTTGATACTGCCTTCTATTATGTCTGTGTAAGTCTCTAACTCTATTAGCCGATTAGTAACGATTATTTTCATGTTATTTATTTGTTCACATGTATAACTGCATGCTGCATCGTTCATTACCCATAAATAGTGCAC